AACAATAAATCTTCTTAGAATAGCCTTTTGTTTTATTTTTCTGAAGGTCAACATTATATTGGATTTTATACGACGTTCAGCGCCTTTGTTTCAAGAAATATAATATCAGCACGAGTAAGTAAAAGTGCACTCTCTCACGATCCGAATGGAGACTCTTAGGCTGTGTGCCAAACGTTGTCGTGTTGCAACGGAAAGTCCTCCAAAGGGTGGCAGCTTGCAATTTATATGCATTTACATTGGTGCATGTAAAAAGTAAGCGAAAAGCTCAGCATAAGTGCATACGCAGGGTTGTTAGTAACACGATATATATTCATTTCTAGAAATACATATACACTAACAAAGGTCATTACCATACAAGTTTGTTGAAATAAGTAAATAACTCGCATGAATCATATAAAAAGCAATGTGCACATTGCCAAAATTAGAGATCTTTACGTTGCATTAAAATAGTCCATAATCTATACAAGAAATAACGAATCATAAGCGTGAAATGTATCTTTTTTTTTAATTCAGAAAATATTTGCTATCATATTTGAAGTTGTTAATGGTTTTATCAGTTTTTAAAAAAGTCCAATTTTGACTACGAGCAATGAAACTTTTCATGCGACGGCAAAAAACCTCTTCCGAACAGCTTCTGCATCTTGAATATCGTACCAAAACAGAATTTGGATATGCTTTGGTAAAAACTTTTAAACTAATGTCAAGAGAAAACTAAGACCCAGGTATGTGAGGTAACGTGACGCACACCATATCCAATTCACAAATGGAAGGGAGCCACCAATTCTTAATACTTGTTCAGATTGTATTCATTACGTACCTATTCCCATTAGACCTTCTGCTCAACTAAATCATGTTATCGAAAATTAATTTAATCCTTTCCCCTAGCTGATTTCAGGTTAAATTGTTTACGATTTGTTAGAAAGTTGTTGTAGGAACAGCAACTTTTCACCATTACTTACTGATAGAGAGCCATTTATCAGAATAGAGTTAATTGATTGGCTAAGGAACGGTTGTTTCGACAAAAGCAATTTGGAAGAAGTCGATACCGCAAGCAAAGAATTCCTAGTTAATCAATCTTGCTCGTGTTTTGGAGATGCTAAGTTATTTTACAGGTACCTAAATGTGGCCGTAGCCTGCTTACGTAAGGTAATCAATTATACTCAGTCTGAAATGAATTGAGACATACCAAAATAGGGCCTAAATGAGCTTAATCATGCTGTACTGCTGTTAATATAATATAGAGCCATAAGAATGCTTCATTGGGATGATATTTACCAAAACGCACAGCTGTGGTGTTGCCAAGGAGGCCCAACATTTATTTAGAAACTTTCTTTTTAAGTAAAAACTATACATATATACACAGGGTGACTTTGAAGTTGAGTCATTAGTTTTCAGATAATGATTGTAGAAGGAAGATAAACCAAAATATGCGTGGAAAAATAAAAAAAAAATGTTTACCTTGTTTTATAAAGTATCCTCCCGATAAGTATTTCAGTGCGCACCTGTATTTGATCGTGAGGTCCCCTGTGAGGTCTTAAGTCACCTGATTCACGAGCCCGTTGTACTACATTAACAAAGGCACGAGGGGTTGGTTGCACTCGATTGGGAAACCGATCCGCATAAACATGTGCCATTTTTTATTTCGTTTGAGCCACGCAACAGATACCACTATTCACTGACACTGACTGTATACAAATGAATGAAACAATTGCAAAAACATCGTTCCAAATTCTTTCGCTTTTTTGTTTCCGATGCGATGAACCGATACGGTGGATTATATCCGTTGTCGCCAAACACGAGCACATATATTATTATTGAGACAGGGTGGTACTCAAACTTCCAAAGGGCTATAACTTTGTTACTTTAATTTTACCAGAAAAATGGTAAAGGAAAAAAATATATCTTTTGATCAGATCTACTCACTGTTAAAATAAATGACTCAACTGTATATATATATATATTCTCCAAATCTCCCCTCAAGTGTTTCTGCAGATGAACCTTTTTCGACTAAAATTTCCACCAAACCTTTGGCCGTTAGTCGTCTGCAAAATTGTTTTAATAGATTTTGTCAAATCAGAAAGTTACGATCAGAAAAGCAGAAATTCCGATTATTAAAGTAAATCTATGTAATGAAATTACAGGTAAAAACAATCATAAAGATAGTCATATCAAAGGAAATCCAAGTCTAACACCATAGCAGTACTGTGAATATTTGTTATCAGCTAATACCGCTGTTACTTAAAGATTTGAAACATGTATGTACCTTTTGAGTGCAGTTTACAATAAAATGACCAATCATTCTACTTATCTGATGGTGAGGTGTGTGAACTGTCGATAAGGATAAAAAATAAATTCAGGTGTGGTGTAGATGAAGTTCCAACAGCAATAGTAAAACTTTCTATTCCAATTTTAAAACATGTACTGTGTTTGCTTATTAATAATGCCTTTCGACAAGGAACATCCTCAGATAATTTGAAAATAGCTGTTATCAAACCAGTTTTAAAAAAATGTAATCCAGAGCGATAAAACAATTATAAGCGAATCAATATTTTAACGTTTATTTTTATTTGAGTTAGGCATTAGTAAAATTTATGTAATTTATTTAAAACACATCAGCGTGGACACCTACATGGGACGTTAGCAAATACTGCAATATTTCAATTTATTCAAACAGTACTTAAGCAATTAGGGAAGAGAACCGTAGCGGTGGGTTTCTATATGGAATTGTCCAAAGCTTATGATTGCATTGTGCCACGCTCTTTTTTTTAATTAAAATCACTTTTTAATTTTGAGCTAAATTTATTTCTCTCAATTGAGGCAATGGATGATTATAAAAAAAACTAGGGAGTTACTGAGGCTAAAGTCGTGGTTTAGCGTTGGCAAATTAGGCCCTGTGCTCAGGTACACCGAAGAGTAGAGGGGGGGGGTATTTTTTAGGGGCGCCACCAGCTTTTATCCGCCAAAACTGGAAGATGCCTTGGTATTGAAAGGCACTCTTTAGCCCAAAACCCCAAGAAACAAAAACAAAAATACATACAAACAATAGATTTTCTGTGTGGGTAAATAATTGCTAAAATTAACATCAACACATTTTATTATACTAAGTGACATATAAATCCGAACACCCAGTTTAAATGGTTTTATTTTAATAAAAGTTGGTGAATGTATTTATCTTACTGTAAATAACAAGTGAAAAAATTTTCAGCCTTATCAGTTGGACATTCCGGTTTTTATACTGCTCTAAAAATGAATATTTCAGCCGCAGTAAAGAATCAACGTTGGCGGATTTGGGTTCTTGACATCCTTTACGATCGGTTACGATGCCTAGAGTACGGAGACCTGTACGATTTCGTCAACTTAGTGAGTTTGATAGGGGCCGTATAGTGGGACTTCGGGAAGCTGGACTTTCTTTTCGGGCAATTGCAGTTAGAGTACAAAGAAGTGTAGACACTGTGGTTAGGTGTTGCCAGGCATGGCTTCGAGAAGGCCGTACGCAAAGAGAAAGTGGCACTGGACGCCGCCGTAGAACAACAGACCGTGAAGATCGCCGCCTAAGATTATTGGCCTTAAGGGACCGCTTCTCCACTACCAGGTCCATTGCAAATGAATGGTTTGCAGAACACGGAATACCCATTGGCATGCGAAGTGTTTACCGACGAATGAGAAGTTTTGGCTTGTTTTCATACCGGCCACACTGGGTCCTCCCTTTAACTCGAGAACACCGACGTAATCGCCTTGAGTGATCAGGAATGGAACAGTATTGTCTTTAGTGACGAGTCTAGATTTTGTTTAGGCATGCACGATGGTCGTGCCAGGGTTAGAAGGCGACGTGGCGAAAGGAGGAATCCACAGATTTTAGTTGGAAGTTGTGGTTTGGGGTGCTTATGGTTCCAGGTCACCTTTAATCTTCATCAGAGGTAACATGAACGCGCAGCGTTATATCCACGAAGTTCTAGAACCCCATTTTTTACCCTATCTTGACACCCTGGCAGATCCAACTTTCCAACAAGATAATGCCCGACCACATGTTGCAAGAGTCACAATAGACTTCTTTCAACATAATGATGTCACATTGTTACCATGGCCACCAAGATCTCCCGACTTATCCCCAATTGAGCACGTGTGGGATATGATGGGTAGGAGATTGCTCAATTTGCAACGTCCTCCTCAGACTCTAGAAGCACTTCGAGAGGAGTTGGTGGTTGCCTGGAATGAGATACCACAGGAGGACATTGAACACCTGATCAGAAGCATGCCTAGGCGCGTTGGAGAATGCGTAGCACATCAGGGTGCATCCACACATTATTAAAGGTCAAAGGGCTTTAAAGCGGTGCAATCATTTTGAAATTTTTATCATTTACTTATTATGCTTCATTAAGTACTTATACAAAATTTTATTAAAATAAAACCATTTAAACTGGGTATTCGGATTTATAGGTCACTTAGTATACATCTACTAGCGGCTAACAACAAAAATTTAAGCCAGTCAAACTAGGAGATCTCCCTTAATGCGAAAGCTCATTGACTAACTAATTTAAAATGGGCGAGGAAGGCTTCAAAACCGATGACGTAAGAATCCCTATGGTGGAAGGGTCTCCAGTAGCGAAGATTCCCCCAAAATAAAAAACCTAGATGATGTCGGGTAGGGTTTTCCACGTGGTTCCGTCTGGCGAAAAGTGCGGCTGAAGACAATAAGATCCTACAAATTGTAGAATTTCTCGGGTCCAAGGGTAGACAAAAAAAGATGCTACGCACTCACAACAGGAATATTCCTAGGAAATTATCTATGAAATTTTCTTCCACAATCCAACGAAGATGCCTCAGGCAAAAAAGGAGGAAAATTTCAGGTCTTCTGGCACTAGCGGAACAGAACAAGATGGCCCTCCGATAGTGGAAGGAAGTCCCCTCCCAAAATTTAATTTTTTCGACTTGACATTTCCAAATATAGTTGTACGCCTGACCATTAAGAGCAAAACGTTGTCGGCCAGTCCCAAAATGAGGAGGTGTGCAAGTAGTTCGGTACGCAGAATAGTACCTCGCCATCAGCGACACCAGCCTTTGACATTGGAAGATTTCAGAAAACAATAATAAATTCATCTGACTATAAAAGATATACATAGTTTAATAGGTGAGTAATAATATTTATGCACCACAAATAGTTTCTAATTCAGAAGGTGATATCAATTTATAGATGTACATTTATTTATTTATTTATTTATTTTTAGCTTCGGAGTGACAAACCGGATTGTTGTTGAAATGTAAACAAATCCCCGAGGCAAAAATATCGAGATTGAATTGATTTCTTGACGGTGGAAGATCTAGGATGGGATGGAAGCAACCGAGTTATTTATGAAAATATGTGGAGATGAATACTAAAATTATTACTCATGGTGAACCAGGGAAATTACTAGGCAACACAAGAAGAAATTGTCCATATCAGGGTGAGTAAATTCTTCAATTAATTACCTGAATGCATGGAAAATTGACTACACATTTATAAACTTAGTGGTAGAAACTGTAAAGATGATCAAAATGGAGTGCGATTGCTGTACGTTAAATTTAATAATTGAAATTTTTGGATTATAAAATAGATCAGGATGGATTATGGTTAGTTGATTGAGAAATATTTGGTTTCAGTTCCCAAATTGTTCAGTGACATGGAAGACGCTGACTACTATATACAGGCAGCCAAACGACTACAGAAGAAAAACGACGGATACAAATTAAAAATTATAGATATTCCGTGGTATTCATGTGTTATGTTTGTTATTTCAAATAAACATGATAATAGGTAAATGTCTGCGTGTTATTTATTTTGGTTATGAATTACGTGAGAAAAATGTAGCTAAATACACCGTTAAAAACAAGCCCAATCTTGGGAAATGGCCAATGGGCCGGTCCAGTCATTTTTGTCAATAAAATTGATTTAATAATATGCTATGAATAAAAATAATATGCTACGGAGATTATTAGATTAGATTATCGGCTTTTGTTTCTTCCTTCTCAAGTTCTTGCTGCATTACTTCAAATTAAACCTGTGCGACACCAACAACAACAACAAAAAATATATGATTCATCGGCAATAAAAGGCAACTGTTACAATTGGCAGAGACATGTTGTTATTAAAGCTACAAGGATATGGTGTAAGAGGGACTGCACTTGAGTTGCTCAAGTCATACCTCTATAATAGACAGCAGAGAGTTGAAATTGTTAAGAGAGATCAAACTTACAAATCACACATCACACATTGAGGGTATAGCACAGGGTAGTATACTCGGGCCCATTTTATTTGTACTTTTCTTAAATGATCTCTTTTTTGTTACTAGTGGTAATGAGAGCAACCTTAAAATTGTATTCTATGCTGACGACTCAAGTTTATTGTTGGGTGGGAAAAGTGTAGAGGGCCTAACTGGTAATGGAAACCTCTTATTCAGAAGTCTGAATACATGGTTTTCATTATTTAGAACTAAGCAGTGTAAAGTCGTGAAACTACAATGTGTCGATATAGATGATCATCAACTGCAGTTGACTGCAAGTTCTTAGTCATCTATATTGATGAATTTTTAGATTAGACAACACATGTATACGAACTGTTGTTATGGTTTGAGAGTAACATCAAGATATCTAAATAATTCGAGTATGAGAATATTGCCCTATGCTAATTTTGAAAGTATTCTATACGTTTATCAAAAAAATGTTTGTTATTTTGTACGTCTAATAAAGGGACTAAATTTTAATGAAACCTGCAATGGAGTGCTTGAAACTGAAAAAATCATGACTATATATGTCATCTATGCATGTGTGTCTTATTTTTTTTTTTTCGAAAATTATAACTTATTTGAGCTTGAGGTGCAAACTGTTTGTGATACTTGAACAGTCAATATTAGTTATCTGATGGATATATTATCTTCCACAGAAAAAATCCCTATTTACATGTGCTTAAAACTTTTTGATAGTCTACCAAATGGAATTAAAAACATAAACGGTTTACATAAATTTAAAAAGACAAGCAATTTCTAATACAGTCAGAGGCTTATACCATAGATGAGTTCTGTGTGAGCTGTAATAATTTCATATTGTAGCTGATAGGTAAACTACTTTAGTTAAGGTTATAGTGACGCAAGATTTTGTAGTGGCTATACAATGTCTGTAATGTCATTGTACAATTTGAAATATAGATTATTATTATCTAATAGAAATCCACATAAAACATGTTAAGCGGGTTTAAATTGCACCTTTATTTGTCAAAGGCATGAAACAACGTTGTATAAGGTTGGACACGCCCTCAGGAACGGAGAGCATGCAGATCCTATCCTACCTGTACTAAAAAAACGTTAGGTACTAACAATCAGCACATTGCCTGACATCTATTAAATTTTGCCGAATGTATTCAAAGAAACTACTCACTCCTATGGTAACGAAGTTTGTGTGCCAGCTCGCTACTTACCCCGTACATCGCATTACTGTCAAGATAGCGTCATGCTACGAGAGCCTTGTAGATTGCACAACTAAAGGGAAAACTCTTCAACATCTTAATTGCGTGATGTAAAAGATAAAAGAAAGCGGCTTAAATTCAAATTCGTACGGAGGCAACAAGTGAGCTGGCGCTCCCTCATAAAATATGGATCCAGGCAAAGTGGAGAACCGGTTCGGACTGCGAACGGGATGGAAACTTTATAAATAAATTGCGTTCAAAAGGATCTGCTAAAGATCCATCCGTTAGTACAACTTGACACTTTAAGTATTCATCAAGCTAAACTGTTTTTTGTCATGGAATGGAGTTGCTCGCTTTTAAACCTTCGTGGAAAGAAGTTTCTTGTTGCTCAAGGAGATCAACAAGGAATTGCTTCAGACATCAAATTATGTATAAAGACTAATCAGTAGTTAAAATGAATTTTTATTTATTTACTAGAGCAGCAAATTTTATATCGGAATATAACGGCATAATTATAGAGTTAGATATAGATGCACTCTCTCAGTATTGATATTCAGGAAAAGTAGGAGCATGCATATTGACTAGTGTAAAACATAACCTAAGTTGAAGTGACAAGCAGAAATCTCATCTAGAAGGCTCAGAGTACAGGCTAATCATGGAAGGATTGTGAAAAAGGTCTTAAAGACTTTAGTATTGCCGATTAGTTATAATGTGTGCCCCATCAGTGAAAAATACAGATTTCGGTCTATATACGAGTACTGTATGCTTGACTAGGCCTGATGTAGGCTATGTGTAGAGCCAGGTACGGAGAGAAAAGTTTAAAAGCTGAAACGCACCTTTCAGCAAAATTTCCACATCTGAAATATGTCTGATCCAGTAACTCTCATGTACGTACTTGAACGACTGGCTTCTTAGTAAAGCTCAAAAACCGATTACAGATGAATTTTCGTATTTGACAGGATACCTTAAGACTCAGAACCACTGAAATGGTATATGTTTCTGCGCCATATGAAATAAGTAACCAGATCAAGTCTCCGTACCATGGGCGGATACCAATTTTCCCAACTCAGGGAAACCGATTCAAAATTATTTACTAATCGTAATTCTCAAAAATCTTCTAATCTAGAACATAAGCATGGGTAGAGTATGACACGCCATTTGAGGTTTTTTAAAGTTAAAATAAAGAATACATACAGAATTTACAATATAATATAAAATAACACATCTATTTGCTAACTTGATGGAACATTTAATATTGGATGTAGATATCGTTGTTAACACAAGAAAACCACGTAACTCCACTTTATATGGCGTTTAAAATAGGAAAATTACGTAATTCCTAATTTTACCTATTTTCCATTTTTGTTTTAAAAATTTCAGCTTTCTTTAAGTATCATTCAGAAACTGCTCAAATAAACTATAATACTGCATTTATCACAATAATGCTGTTATTCCTAAAACAGTATAATACATAACTCAATTTGTTTTTATGCTTTCCTCTAAAATTCTTAGAAACGGAGTTACGATTTTTTTTTGTACCATCGACGATATGTGACAAGCTTATGAGAGCTTTTGAAGAACAATCTTCAATAATAAAAAAGCCGGAGTGAAATGCGACTAAATAATTCTTATAGACAAAAAAATACATTTTTATGATGATGCTCACAAAGTCGAGCTTTTAAATCTATGTCGCCTTAATAAAGATCAAGCTTGTAACTTCCATATCTATCAAAATATTTAATAATCTACATTAAGGTGCACACATAGAAAATTAAGAATTATAAATTTTCAAAATTGTTTCAATAAGAGTATAAATTATTGGATTTCTTCATTAGAGTCATCTGAACTTTCTCCCAAGTAAATGATTATTTTAGCCTCCTCCCTATTAAACACTTGATGCTTGTCCCAGTCGTTTTTAATCAAGTCCTCGGTATGTTTCACACACTTAGCCCAAACTGTAGGAGTCACCTTCGCTAGATCATCGTCCCAAACTTTCATATCTTCCTTGTCACCATAGCCATTTTCTCCAATATAACGATCATACTACTGTTTGGCTATTCGCAGACTAACTTAATAGGGTTGTAGTGATAATTGTAAGGGGGAGCCGCAAAACTTGATGTCCAATTTCATGTAACATTCCATCTATGATATATCTTGGAGCCGATGTTTTATTAAGGCGACATAGATTTAATAGCTCGAGTTTAAAAGCGTCATCATCAAAATGTATCTTTTTGTCTTGCAGTTATTGCGGCGATTGCATTTTACTCCAACTAGAATTGGGCATTTTTTCTATTAAGGCACTATGATGAGATTCATTATCCATGAATACTAAAGATGGCTCTTATATCGCTGGTATCAGCTTCTCACATACCCATTTTTTGAAAGAATTTTTGTCCATGGAATCGTGGTTGTCAGCACTTTTTGATTCTGTAGCAAATAGCAATGCAGTATCTCTCAAAAAACCGTTTCTAGTCCCAGCATGGAGAGCAACATACCGCTTGCCGGTACCCTGATGACCGCTTTTTAAGCTCTTTACATTGTTATCTTGCCAAACTCGTTTAAGCGACTAAGAAAACGCATTGGAGAGGGCTTGTACTATTCAGGTCATTCATATAATGTTTCATAAAATAGATACGTTTGGAAACAATGTCTGATTTTTCACGCAAGAGTCGGCGGTTATCTGGTAGGAAAAAACTGTCAGCTTTTAGAAGACGCCTTAAACTTGAATCCGAGGCGTTGTATATGTACCTTCTTTTATGCTACTGATTAAGCGCAGAGGTAGTGATATGTTGTTTTCATATCTCATATCGTAGAAAGTATCCCTAATTTCCATTTTGACGGCATCAGTTACATCATCGGTATTACATTTTTTGATTTTGTGAGCTTCTCCAGCTGTTACTATGGGCAAACCTTTCTTATTTTCTGATTTTACTCGCTGAACACTGCGCAGACTAATCTTCAGCACATCTGCCACTTTCTCAAGTACGCATGCAGTGGGTAACAGGGGACCGCTGTTTTCATTCCCTTTCTAATAAATTTAGCACGAGCTGTCGGCTTCTTCATTGATCGTATTTCCGAGCATTGTACAATTTTATATTGAAGATTGATAACAGGACAACTCAAATTGCACGCCTATGTCAAGTAAGCTATCACCATAACAAATATGATTGAAAAGCACTCCTACGTGACGACAAAGTTTTCGACACGGAAACACACAACTAAAAAACATATGTCCTTGAACTTACCGAACAAACGTTCACACACAGGGGTATGTTGCATGTCTATGTATGAGGAAGATGGAGATTTATAAAGGGATAGTGTTAGTCTTGCTTTGACCCGACAAGAACGGTGACTACAACTATACTCCAATTCCCCAAATATGCATTCGAATCTTTCACTAAAATGAAATTTTAATTCAGGTTCTCATTTATACTCACCATTCCATGGAGAATGCGAAATTAAGAAGCCAATTGCGTTTAAAACTTTCAGAGCCAATTGGAATCAATTTCTGCGGACCCGTAGCTTATCATGTCATATAACTTCATAACAGATGACGAGGGTTTTTGAAAAGTCCAAATGTATTAGTAATTTAACTTTCCCAATAATCGTTTAACGTCACTCCACATCACTTTGATATTTCGGAAAAAAGCTTTGTATATTGACATATGCAGCCAGAAAGTACACTTATTATATTTTACAATTTTTCGCCGAAACGCGAAGGTTATTGAGAATATGATGCAAAATATGCAATCTCTCTTAGATCACCTTACTGGAGAACTGACTGACGTTCGGTTTCATGAGCCTGATTATATTCAGAATGAGCAATTTCGGATGCTTCAGGATAAAATAATTTTAACATTAACAGACCCTGTGGTTTATTATATTACTAATTAGGCAAGAATTCAATGTTATTAGTTGAACCATCATCAACACAATCATGTAAGCAGATTTGTAACATTCCATTTAGAAAGAAAAAAATTAAATTCTGTCAATTTTTTAAATCGTAATGTCATATTCTTATGCAAGTTAAGGTAGATTTTCCTAAGAAAAATGATACTGACATAACATACTGTAGCGTTTAGATGACTGGCTGTGAAGTTTTAAGCGATTCATTATGAAAAAGCTTTTAACCTTTCATTTTGAAAGATAGTGAGTTTATATTTAATTATTATAAGCGACTCTCAACGAGCTTCCATTATTAGATAATGTTCCAATGTACCGCAATCTTAAAAATTTCAATTCCAAAATATAGTCTCTCTGCATTAATTTTGTCGCCACGAATTTCAGTATGCTAACTTGACTGCAACAACACGTAATGAGTAAGATATAGGGCTATGAGGTAAATAAAAAAATAGCGAATATGCCGTTTACAAACCCAGATTACATACATCTGTACCAGTTGGATTAAAGAACGTAGTTGGTGAGATTAACCTCACAAGCTATCATTATATCAATCAGTCCATCTGACAATTTGCTAAATAATCCAATAATATCTAAATTGTCAAGCTAACCACTTTTATGTAGAAATTATCAAATGTGAATTACGAGCCTACAAATAACGTATACGTCTCAAATTCCATATAAAACTACAAGATAAAGTTCTTACCTTAACTTGCGTTTTTCTATATCGAAAGCAGTGAGGATCGAATAAGGTCGGATGTCGGGTTTAAAAACTTTTACATTTGGAAGAACGAGAAGCTATACCGGAGTGACACCCAGGAGATAGTCGGAGTCACATTAAATTACTGGAATTTATGTTTCGCAGAATATTCACATTTATCTTTTAGTTTGGCACGCAAGTGCTGGAGAATGTGTCTACCATCTTGAGCAAAAATCATCAAACAGAATATTATACGCCTGGCGTACCGACTTCAAATTAGGATTTATTCCTATACTGTAGGGACAGTCAGACAGATTGAAATTAAGTAAAGTTGCAGAAGACTTTGGAATTTTAAGAAACTGATGTGACATGCTGCTCTATAGGCTCCCAGTGAAGCTTTGCAGATGACTGTCTCCAGTCGGAAGACAATTATATGATGTTTGCCAAAGATAAGCTACTACTTCAGCAATATGTCTGTAACATATTAACGACTTACATCATTTCTATGTACGCTGAATGTACGCATTCAAGCTGCCAATCTTATCTCTGTAAGTGAGCTAGATAGAAGGTTGATAGCGACTTCTTGTCTAGCAAAAGACACGTAGCTTGAAACTGCCTTGGGGCGCAACAGTCTTGGGAACGATAAGTACTTTGCACATAGCCATTTCTTGCTGCTTGTCGGAGATCAAATCATCAAAGTCGAGGTTTTCTTCTCCTATAAACCTACAGGGCCCAGACATGGGCCGGCCTAAAGTACTGCTCACATATCAGATGTACGCGGCAGCTGAATCTACACTGCTCATATTTGATCCTCCTCCCTCACTTGATACTCTTGATCTTTTCTCGCACTAACGGGCAGTCAATGATCTGGTTCTGTTGACTCGATATGCAAACGTAATGTTCCTCTGACATGCTACAGCTTTCTAGTTCTACCGGTCGAACGCGCCAGACATCTAAACTTTTCAGCCAATACGGTGGGCGTTGCTTCTGTCTTTAAGAATAAACGAAACTGTGTGAAAAGTTGGAAAAATATGAAGCTAAAAAAGGACAAGATCGCATTTACCCTGGAACACGAGACAAATAAAGATGAAAATATCAATTTCAACCCAAAAAAAAAAAATAAATGAAAAACAGAATTAATCTGGAGTGTCAGTTCAGGATTCAGTGTGCATTTGCCATGTAAGCATTCTGTCTAAATTGATTCCGAGACCGTATTGTCAGTCGTCCCAACAATTGTAGGACGCCTTTATGGATTTCTTGATTTTCATAGTCTTTTCTCTCCTTCAGAAAGGCTGGGGTATTTTTAGATTTCTACTCCTATTGTGAGGCTGTTTTCCTTTTGAATTGTAAGGAATTTCAGGCTAATATAACGGATGATATAAATCAAAGCCACGAGCAATTTGATGTAAGCAGATATTTGTGACATAACCTCAAAAAGAGCGTTGACACGGAACAGTAGAAAACTATAAAAATCAAGGGGGACATAGAGGTGTCCTACAATTGTAGGAACGACTGACAATACGGCCCTTAGAATGATTTTATTATGAACTTTGTGAATTATTGGTAATTACTGGTACACAGGTTTTCCTACGTGAGGTAAACGTCACGTGTGTGTATATAGTTTCATTCTTCTATATGCGCCATTTCAGTAGTCTGTTCTCAACTTGGAGGAAATTTCTCTGGAGATCTTACAATGATATGTCTCTATTCTCTTGGAATGCCAAAGTAACCGTAGTCATCTGCAAAGTTGCCACGCATACACCACTAGTACTTGACACAATCGATAGGCTTGGTGGATCTGGATGCAGTGGTGAAGTACCTAAGTGTCAAGTTCGATTTCATAAGCAAATAATGAGGATGAGTGAGAGATTGTTTAAATTTCAAGTGTAGGCAGTTGAACAGCTTTATTTGTTGTTAAACTCAGCATTGATTTTATTCTCAATTCTGTGCACTTGCTCAACGTTTTTCCTGGAAGCCAAATTGATGGACAGGCATTAATTTCGTTTTGTTAACAATATAGTTAATTTTAACTAGAATTCCATTCATTGCCCGTGAACTGTATATCAAGGTCCGTCACCAAGCTCGTTAATGCTGACGCATCAGTCACTTTACCAAATTTCTGCACATTAAAACGTCACGTACGTAGTTTATATTTTAAATGGTTAGCTCTCCAGTGCCACATTATGTTAACAACTGTTCACTCGGGGGAAAGTTGAGTGTTATCACTAATGAAATTTATATTCGCTTTAATCATGTTTATGATGCCATTCTGGAAACAAGGGCGGTATGTAAAAACGGAGCGAGGGACTATCTTTAAGTAAGTATAGGATATTAAATAGAAAGCTTTGCCTTGTAGGTGTGCTAGTTAAATATAAATACAGCTTTTGTAAAACCTCAAGGGGCTATGAACAAAGTTTGTCCTGTTGCTTGACTTCAAGCTTGCTGAACTTAAAAATATGAGCAAGAGACATTTTTTGTATCAATGACTAACCGTATACAGCGCTGTTTCTTGATTTTTAGCAACTCACCTATAGGTCTGGTCTTGAAAAAAGACAACCGAAAAGCAAACAAGTGGGTATGACATTTTGAAGAACCTCAGACTGTTCAAGTAAGCGAAAAACTTGCACTTTTCATGTAATCAGCACCAAGAACAAACAGACAATCCGGCGGAAATGAGTGACATGGTTTGTCCAATATACATGGCATCTCATTTTTCGGAATTTTTGGCGTCAATTAGCGTAAAAACTAAAACATGGCATTATCGAATTTGTCATTGGGATAGCAATTTATCAGACTGACCAACAGAGAGGAAAAGAAAAACAAAGAGTACACGAAAAAGACAGGAAACACAATATTTACTTGACAAATGGTCTGTCGAGGCACTTGTTACACACACAAATAAGGACCACATACAAGAGGCAAGCGCAAACAATAGGTATAAGAAAGCCTAATATTGATATTTGTCTTCTTCAGGTTCTATTAAAAACGAGAGACTGTATTTTTCTTAATGTCAGTGGACGTGGAGATATAAAGTCCGATCAAAATCGAAATTCAAACAGGCACATAACGACTATACTTGCATTGATTTCAGACTATCAGATAACTCGCAAAGCTGTGAACAACCGACTACGCCTGTGGTTAACCGTAATGATTTTGTCGATACCATCGTTTCCAACGTAGTTAAGCCCAGCGTTTCTTGGTGCAAGGTAAATAAAAATAAATATAATCAAAATTATGGCTGGAATACGTGCGTGCCTAGGCCCTAACGAGAATCGGCTGCGTTTAGGAATGCCTTTCGTGGGCGTATCAATTTACATGTAATTGATCTCGATAACGGGTTGGATTTAAAATAGTATTTAAATGGAGTCAAGTTAATGAACGGCTGTGCCAGGGAGAGCTAATCTCTTCTTTATACGACCATAAAAAATGGACTGCGTGACGTATATGCCATAATAATCTCACGAATGTATACAGTATTTAAAAGAATCCTTTAACTATGTCATATGGAGCTTCTTTACAGGGATACTCCTTGAAAGACGTTACTGGACATTGTTCTTTTCTGCAACAGCCTCTAAATTACACTCGAAGAATTCACACCAGTGTATGAAGTTTCCCCAGATTGCTGCTTGGCAGCCTCATTTCTTTGGAGCTCAGTTTTAAAACTGTTTGTCAACAATGGATAATTGATTACAATAGTTCTTAATATCTCATTGAATTACATTCCAAGCATAATGCTTGAATGTACAGATAACATCGCGCCCACCGTATATGAATATCACGTCACCGTGGTATTTCGCTATCTAGTTTTATTTCCCGCAGGTGCAATATTCCCAATTCCTTGGCACCCGGCAGGTGCGACCGATAGGTAGCTGATCCGTCGGATGAAAACATTCTTAAGACCAAATGCGGAAGGCACTATGTTATATGTGACATTATGTCCAATAGATGCGCAGATTTACCAACGCTGGGAGTGAATTAATATACAGCCCCCCATCTCTCAACCTTGTACTCTTATTTTTTTTCAAAAATGATCAGGGTCCTGTGAAACAAAAACTGAGTATTTCTTTTTTTCTCTGCCATTGCTGGACAGATTTTCAGGAACTACAAAAATGTTCCATCTTTGGCTTAGTGGTAACCTTGTATAAAAATGCTATCCAGATCTGAGCAGTGCTCTGCAAGTTACAGATCGGTCAACAACAAACGAACAGACCAACAAATCGACAGGCAGACTGACAGATAGACCGACGGTAATGAGTGACATGGTTTTTAGTGATGTACATCACATAGAAAAAACGTAGTATTTCATTTTCGCAACAAAACTAAAAACTGTTCCGTTAGATAAGTCTTTCAATGGAGAAAACAGTACCCAGGCCCGTACCATTGAGGAGCTACAATTCCACAGACAGACACATCTATACATGCTAAACATATAACAAACAGCTTTTTTGCATCGGGGTTTAAAATTTTCAGCAATCCCATCTCACGTTCATAACAAGATCCGTTTCTTGTACTATTGTGACTCTTTATCGTTTTATCGCAAAATAAATAACCTATAACTTTTATAAATATCTTTTCCCGATTGCGTAGCCAGGCAATATGCCTCATTTTTCTTATGCCGTGTCGCCGCAATAGCGAACAGGAAGAACATATTTACTGCTTTCCTTGCACAGGAGTGATAAGGGTGAACATACATCACACATAAATCACAGCAGGCAGTATCTTAGGGCGTGTCCCTCACCGCAGCGAAGGAGGAGGAGATTATTTTCTCAGTCGTGGAAACATTCCGTAAGGTGGATTTAGGTATTTAATATGGGGCTGTTTGTAGACGCTTTGGTAATAACTCGAATGTGTACCCAATGCTATCGAATGGAATTTCTTAAGAATACAACCAGTTTGATATGATTTCCAGTTCTTCAATATGTTGAGTAGTTAGATTTATTACACTCCACATAAGATAAATTGAATTTTACCTTACTTTCAGCTTCGTACCTTAAGTTAGGTTACCGATGTGGCCAAAACGTCATATATAATTATTTTGTCATCAATGATTTTATGCGTAGGCCAGATATACAAAAAGAATCAACATTTCTACAGGGTGTTTCAGTTTATTGTTGCATAAGCAGCGTTAAGCAGCAGCGGTGGCCGCAGTAGTAGACTCTTCAGTCTCCTGATCAGTCGCCGTGCGCTGCGCGGGTTCGAGTCCCGTCCCAGGAGAAATTTTTCTCTTGGCTATGGATGTTGTGATTGTCCGTGGGTGGTAGATGGTCTCTGACTGTCGAACGCGGAGGTACCACCCGGCAGTTCTCGTAGGCGGAGCCAGAATGTGTGCATGTTGCATGCACACGTGTTCCCTCGCCAGAGTCCGTGTGGCGTCCCCCCTTTCCCATGTATCCCCCTATAGCCCCACGGTACCCAATGGGTGCTTAGGCCTTAGGCCTTCGAGGTAGTTGGAGTATAAAAAAAAACTTTAAGATTCGATAGAACTTTTAAAATTAATGCATAAAGTCTATATAAACATGGGTCGAAAAATGCGTGGCTTCCGAAACACAGGGTGTTTAAATTTACTTTCTAAAATAGTTTTTTTTAAAATATTTCGAACAATATTTGATGTATAACAGTGAAAGTTGGTATACGAGGGTTTTTTGGTACGACAAAACGAACATGGGCATATTTTTACTGTAGCCGCTAGAGGGCGCTCTCTACTGTACCTGTAGTGTATTAAATTGAACGAAAAGTTTTTCTTAGTGCAATTTTTTGCTTTTTGAATAAAAAAACTTTTCTGCATAAAAAAGCTTTCCTGTGAGTTTTCGTTATAGTTAGCCGTTTTTGAGATATTTAGATTTTTAAGGATCGATGCATTTTTAATTATTTATGGGAAAATTTTTTACATTTTCGATTTGGGCATTACAAGTAATTAAGATGATCGTTTAGATTGTGTTTTTAAACACAGCAATTATTCCTAACTCCAAATAAACGCAAAAAACAGAATAT